AACGAAGCAAATATCTTAAAAGCCAAAAAAATATTCAAATACACACTTTTTAGTTGGAATTGCTTTTGTTAATTGCTTTTTTCTACTGAAGACTGAACAACAAAGAGGAAAAGCCGTATTATAACCAGTAATTAAAGCAGTCAGTATAAAAAAACTCAAAGTATTTGTAAAGAATCTGTGTTGGAAAATAAATTGTTAACAAATTTTCTTTTTCTGCTGTAACTTTCTATTGGATTCAGAGGTAGTAATCAGTGTGGTCAGTTGAACTCAAATGATTCAGTATTTTCCTTTTACCCTTCTTCGCCTTTTTTTTGGCTTATCTGCTGCTTGTTTTCTGTTTCGTATGTGTCTTTTTGAATTTTAGTGAACTAAAACCAGAAAAAAAAGCCACAAATTTATACTTGAGGTCTATAAAAATAGGCTTATGAAGATATTTTTTTGGTTTTATTTTGATTTGGGAATTGATATAAAAAAAAGCATAAGCACTTTTCTTTTGTTCGTGTTGCACTTTGTTGCTTGCTTAGAATTTTATTCCAAGAAAACAAGATGTGTCAGGTCAGATGAAGTAGCCAGAACATTGAAGGAAAAGCAGGTAAAAAAGCACGAGAAAAATAAATGAAAAAATTTGTAATTTAGTTTTACTCGTTGTTTTGGTAGTAATAAATTAACAGCAGAAAAGCAAAAAAATATATTTTTTTATTTGACATATTCATCCGCAATAAATTTTTTTATGCCAAAGTTTCGTTAAGGTGAATAAGGTTAAAAAAAAAAAAACAAAAGACGAATAAATTGAACACGAAAGAATGAAACAAAAGATGAAAAAAAATTTTTTTTTTTTCCTGTAAATTAATTTCATTTTTTTTTTTTTCGATATCAATAAACCAACAGATCAAATATTAGTTTTCAATAATATATTGAAATCAATTTTGCTATATTTAAGTTTCAAAACAGAGAACAGAGCTATAGAGTTAGAAACCTTCTCCCTCCCTGCCACCCGCAACTTTCTCCAGAAAGAATACCATTATTAATGTAATCAGATTAGCTGTTACCTTAACAGTTTATTAAATAATTGAATTTGACCAAGTAATTTCTCATTTGTAAAACTTATATTTTATTTTATTCTTTAAATTCTTTTAATTATATTATTCTGCTAACACTGTTTTCTCAGTTTCTTTACTCCCCATTTCCATATTATTATTCTCCACTTTTTTTTTCTTGTTGGTATCATTTACTTTCCAACTCATTAACAGTTTCGTGTCAACCAATCTATGCAGTTGCAATTTAAAGCCGTTCGTTGAATATATATGTTGCCATTTAAGGACAGGTAAAGTAAAGGCTTTTACGTCAGCAATTTTTCGTGTACTGCTGTGGTGTTAAACGAAAGCGCATAT